CAATTCTTAGCATTTGATACCACATTCTCCATGAGTGTTTCACTCTCTTCCGGTGTCATGTCGAGAAAAGAACCCATTTTTGAATAATGGTCCAATTCTTTTTTACTTACAACTTGAAGTCCATAGTAGAAATAGAACATCAAGTCATAAGCATCCATCAACTGTGCAGGACACTTTTGTAACACCCCGGCCCCGTAGGCCCCGAGGTAGTTACTTCTGACCTCTAGTACTGTCCTCACAAACCGCCACTAGCCTTTTCCGCGCACTTTGTCCTCACTCGTGCGCGCCCTGAGAAACTTCCCAGGGGGTCACCCATCCCAAGACTACTCCCGTGCAAGCACGCTTAACTTTGGAGTTCTTGGCTAACGAGCTCCCTTAAAAAGAGATGCACCTTGTTGGTATGAGTAGTACTATTAATCCTCTTAAATTAATCTCGGGTATTACAATCACCCCCACTTAGGATCGCAACGTCCTCGTTGCGCCCTTAACACTCTAAATCAAACCCCAGAATCTTGCCCCGCTAAGTGCCTGCCCGATATCTAATGGGTCAACACACTGTCGCAGGGTTGCTCTGATACCATTTGTAACACCCCGGCCCCGTAGGCCCCGAGGTAGTTACTTCTGACCTCTAGTACTGTCCTCACAAACCGCCACTAGCCTTTTCCGCGCACTTTGTCCTCACTCGTGCGCGCCCTGAGAAACTTCCCAGGGGGTCACCCATCCCAAGACTACTCCCGTGCAAGCACGCTTAACTTTGGAGTTCTTGGCTAACGAGCTCCCTTAAAAGGAGATGCACCTTGTTGGTATGAGTAGTACTATTAATCCTCTTAAATTAATCTCGGGTATTACAACTTTCTCTGTAGGCCTTTGTATCGATCCCAAGCCTCACTTATTGTTTCCATCGGAGCTTGCCTGAAATTTTGAATTAAAGTTTTGATGTGTGCAACCCGATGGAGGAAAATACTCATGCATGAATGCCTGATGAAGAGCATTCCCGGTGGTGAAATGACTAGGTGGAAAAGAGTTTAACCACCGAATAGCCTTATCCCGAAGAGAGAATGGGAATAAGATAAGCTTCACGGTGTCAATTGGGACTACACTGATCCGGAATGTTTGACACGTTCTATTAAACCACAACATATGCACCATGGGATCTTCATGTTACAAACCGCCAAATCGATTAATCGATATCACTTGAATGATATCGGGATTAATCTCAAAATTGATGACATCGATTGGCGGAATGCTGATGCTATCTTCCTCAAAAAAGTCCAAGGTTAAGGCTTCAAGCACTGTTAGCCTCTCCCTCATCACGATGAACTTTTGTTCAGACCATCTCAATGTTCTTTTAGGGTAGAGAGCAAATGATAGCAACTTGCGATGCTTGAAAGAGAGAGATTTTACAAATTGATCCTGCTAACTTGAGAAAACAACACAAACAAAAAAAAACAGAAAATAAAGGAGAAAGTCTCACTAACTCGGGTTCACCTATGCCAATAATAAAAACCAACTTACAACTTTGCCACTCCCCGGCAACGGAGCCATTTGATAACCGCTTACGCAACGTTGTAGTAAAACAGAGTCTAACCTTTCGGTTTTTCCCCGAGTATCGTGTCTCTGAGGAGTGGCGGAGGGAAGTGTTGGTTTCAATATCGGTCACCGGTTAGTACGAATCGTTGCAAGCTTTCTCAAACGATTAATTGTGATAATGATTAAGTAAATAAAATTAAACAACAAAAGTAGTAGCGGAGAATTTAATTAAATGACATTAATGAGTAAACTAAAACTAGTGAACATGCAAAATAACTTGAGTGAGAATATTAACTAATAAAAAATATTAAACTAGCAAACATGTGGATGAGTATAGTTTCGAAAATAAAATACTTAAAAGGTAATTTCAATGTGACTAGTAACGAAAAATTAACTAATTAAAAGTGGGGTCTAGATTTGGGATTGAGGATCTTGGGTGTATTTGAATTATGAACAAATATGGGAAATTTTCTCCAATGTAAGAATAGTGATATATTAATTCTCATAGACAAGAACTTGATTTTAATTCCCTAACATGTCCTATTTCTAGGCTTAGTTTAAGGTGTGTGAGATATGAGCTAAATTAAATTCTAAACTCATAGACAAGAAAGAATTAATCTTATAAAAATTAACAAGTGAAGTGATCAATTTCACAAATTACTCTTTCAATTTCGTCTCAAACAACTAGTCCTAAAAATCGGAGACTTTTCTCAAATTCAATTCAATATTCAAGAACACCCATTAACCTAAATTCTATCCAAATCTAAACCCCATGGAAATTTAGCCTAACATAATTATCATGAAACTAACACTATTAATAACACATCTAGAGTAATTTGTAGATGAAATTAAACAGTAAATAAACATCATTAACAACTCAATTATCCAAGTAAACAGAAATTCAGAGTATGAAATAATACAGTTATTAAAACTGAAAGCTTATTGAAGTTTGAATCTAAGCATGAAATTAGGATTAAAATTGAAAGATAACAAAAGATTGACCAGAGTATTTTGAGCTCGGTTCTTCTTCCTAGCAGCTCGGATTTTTTTCTGCCTGGAGCTACTTGCGGCTGAGTGATGGCGGATGAATTCTTTCAAGCTCCATCCTTTTGCCTCCTGCAAACTAGAGCTGGGGTGTGTATTGTTTCTGCGGTTGAATTCCTTTTTTTTTTCCTACTGCCGACAAGTAGCCAAGTAGGAAGTGCCTTCCTATTTTTTTCTTTGGCTATTAATTAGACAACCAGCTGCCCATTGCCATCTCTTCTCTCTTGGTCCAAAGATGGGACTCCCCACCCTTCTCATGTTTTTTTTGGCCGACTCCCTCTTATCTCTTTTGTTTTTTTTGTTTTTTTGTTGTTGCTTTTCCTTTTCTTTTATTTTGTTTGTTTTTCTTTTATTTGCTTGGGTTTTTTGTAACGCAGCCTTGCTGCAATTTTTTGGGGTTTTATAATTTTTTTTGTTTGTTTTTCATTAATTCATTTATTTATTGCACTAAAAGAAATCAAATTCAAATATAACAAATCACAAAATAAAAAAAGTACAAATTAGTGGAAAAAGCACAAAAATCAATCCAAACACAAGAATTAAACACAAATCTCTCAAAATGTAAATTTCAACACAAATTTCAAACATTAACAAAAATGCAAAAAAACGCAGAAAAATGTAAAATTTTGCCCCGAATTTGACAAGAAACGCTATAAAAAGTGAGTGAAAATATATGAACAAATCAGACTTATCAATCACCTCTCTTGCCTTGAGCCAAATGCCACTACTAATATGGAGGTAATTCATGATGATTTTCCATATGAGCAAATTATGGAGGTGAAGGAAGTTCCCTTACCTTGGTTCACAGATTTTGTGAATTATCTTGCCAAAGAAATTCTTCCTCAAGAGCTCACTTTCCATCAAAGAAAGAAATTTTTAAATGATGTCAAACACTACTATTGGGATGAGCCATATCTTTTCAAGCATTGTGCCGATGGAATCATACAACGATGTGTCCTAAATGAAGAGATGTTATCTATCCTTGATCATTGCCATAATCTTCCTTGTGGAGGTCATCATGGCCCGGACCGGACCACAACTAAAATTCTACAATGTGGATTTTTCTGGCCAACACTTTTCAAAGATGCAAGAAGCTATGTCTTGGCTTGTGACCGTTGTCAACGCACAGGAAATTTGAGCCGAAGGAATGAAATGCCACAAAATATGATTCTTGTGGTAGAAATCTTTGATGTATGGGGAATAGACTTCATGGGTCCTTTCCCTAAATCTCATGGCAAGGAATACATTCTTGTTGCGGTTGATTATGTCTCCAAGTGGGTGGAGGCCATTGCTCTACCGGACAACACCGCTAAATCGGTGGTGGCGTTTGTGAAAAAGAACATCTTCTCAAGATTTGGGGTTCCTACAAGTATCATTAGTGATAATGGTACTCATTTCAAAAATGCCCATTTTGCCGGCCTTTTAAAGAAGTATGGATGCATGTTCAAGACCGGAGCCACTTACCCTCCTCAAACTAATGGTCAAGTGGAGGTCTCCAACCGGGAAATAAAGTCCATTCTTGAGAAGACGGTCAATTCTTCAAGGAAAGATTGGTCTATAAAGCTTGATGATGCCTTATGAGCATACCGAACAGCCTTCAAAACTCCACTCGGTATGTCCCCTTTTCGACTTGTTTATGGCAAACCATGCCATCTCCTTGTGGAAGTTGAACACAAATCTCATTGGGCTATTTCCCATCTAAATCTTGACACCACACTTGGGAGAGAAAAAAGGATGCTCCAAATCAATGAGCTAGAAGAGCTTCGAAGGGATGCATATGAGAACTCCCGCATCTACAAGGAAAAGGCCAAAGCATGGAATGACAAGAACATCAACAGGAGGAATTTCTACGTTCAGCAAAAGGTACTACTTTTCAATTCAAGACTTCGCCTATTCCCCGGAAAACTCAAATCCTGATGGTCGGGACCTTTCACAATCACCGAGGTCCGACCATACGGGTCAATGATGATTCAACACGGTGACCAAACAAGTTTTCTTGTAAATGGTCACCGACTCAAGCCATACATGGAATATCATATCACCTCAGCAACCCCCGCTTGCCAATTGGAGGATTAAAAAGGTATGTTGCGTCCAGCCTACGACGTTAAACTAAGCGCTTATTGGGAGACAACCCACCATAAAAAAAATCAATTATAAATAAATATGCACAAATACTCCAGAGACATAACCGGCGCCGGTTGGAATTATTTCACAATTAAAACCGAACCCCGTACTAAAACCGGCGCCGATCCTTCCTTATAACCGGCGCCGGTCCCGAACTTTTCACACGAGAAACGTAATCCCAGGGGGTAACCGGTGCCGGTCCCCCATATAACCGGCGCCGGTTGTATTAAAATTTCATATTTTCCCAAAGCCCGTACTGAAACCGGCGCCGGTCCACCCCTATAACCGGCGCCGGTCCGTCTGTTTTAAACCACCGAGAGGTCGAATTCTTCAGCCTTTTTTACGCAATCCCTCTCCCAAGTACGAACGAGCTTTCACGCCAACCATCCCAAAACCCTCCAAATCATCCCAAATCATCACCCAAGCTTGGAATTCATATCTAGGAGTTTCAAATCATCATCAACCAACACTTCTCAAGAGCTTCTTCTTCCACAAATTCAAGGTAAAAAGGCTAAACCCAAAGTTTCTCCATTTTCGAATTTCTTGCTTCTTTCATCGATTTTTGGTGAAATTCATGTTTATGATTATGGAAAGTTAATCCTTTGTACTTATATGATGAATGTAAACATGATTCTTGTCAAAAATTTGGAATTAAAGTTGAGAATTGGGGGAAGCTCTTGAAAAAATTTCATTTTTTAACCCTAGGTCCAAATTTCCTAATTAATCTTAAAACTATTACTACAATTGATGATTAGAATGGTACTGCCATACTTGTGTTCATACATATACATTCTAAGCCTAATTGTTGCATAAATTTGAGATTAATTTTGAAATTTTGGGGAAAATGTATGAAAAATTTATACCTTGAATAATGAGTTGTGGGTGTGGTGTTTGTATTTTCTTCTAACCATGCAGGGATGCCTCAAAAGCGGAAACAGAATGATGGTGCCTCGTCCTCTTCAAGTTCCAAATCCCGTTTCACTTTTCGTGAAAATGAGTAGTGGTACGAGACTAGGAAAAACTGGGCAATTGTGGTAGAGAAGACCGTGGACCCTGTTCTTAACACTACTTTTGAACTGACGGAGGCCTTCATGCGACTAGGGTGGGCTGGGATGCTTACTCTGAAAGGGGCCTACTACCCCCAATTGGTCCGAGAATTCTACGCCAACATAACTGATAAGGACACGAGCTATGCTGTCTTTCACACGTCTGTCAAAGGCAAAAGCATCCAAGTTGATCCAAGCCTTCTCTCACGCATACTAGGAGTCACTGATGAAGGGAACACCCTAGAATACAGTCAGAAAGGGATCATCAGTGACAACACCTACGATGAAGCTCAAACACGAGAACGGTATAGGCTTCCAAAACTCCTCACCAAAACTCCAGAAATCCCACTCCCCCGCCTCATTCTCAAAAATATGAAAGTCGTAGTCTGCTCCAAGAGAGGTGATAAGAATTTATGTTACCCTCTCTTACTTACCATGATTTCAAAGCATTTTAAGGTGGACCTTAAGGGTGAGGAAGTTACTTACACTACTGACTCAATGTCTTGGACAACATTACCATGGCCGCCCTGCAACATAAATTTGAGTATGGGGAGTGTCATTTCCCTGGACAATTTTTTGCACACTTGCACGATGAGGAGGAAGAGAGGAGAGCTCAAGAAGACATAGCCATGGAAGATGAGCCGGATGGCGTAGCCGTGCCCAACCCACAGGTGCCCCCACAGACTACCGATCCCGCGTTAGCATATTTGATCCAATCCATGGATCGAATGCATACGCGGATGGACACATACGAGGCAAGACAACATGACATGTATAACCGGCAAGAAGAGCTCTACACCCACTTTGACACTTTTGAGACACGCCAAGCGCGTATGGAGGAGCAATTGCAGGGGTATGACCAAAGGTTTGGGACTTCACCCAACACTACTACAACCAATATGGGAACCCCCCTCCCGATTCACACCGTTAAGTACACCTTTGTTGTTAGTTCATAACATTACTCTTCTCTAAACACACTTAATAGTGGATGTTATTGGAAGTGTTTGTTTGTCATGCATCATACATTGGGACAATGTATTTTAAGTGTGGGGGTGCATCTTATGGGTAGTTAAACAAATTTTTTGTGTGCAAAAATATTTTTACTTGTAGGAAGGTAAAATTGTCATAATTCTCTTTTAATGGGTATTTGGTTGAGGAAGTTTTTTTTTTTTACAAAAAACTATCATTTTTTTAGATTACTTCTTACTCTTGAAAATCATTCCCAAAAAGCACTCTTGTGACCAACAAAAACAATCATCTTCTTTCATTTCCAAAATGGTCAAAATACATCTCACCTATTCAAAAAAAACCATTCCGGAAAACAAGCCCACTCCATGTCAATCAAATAAATTGGCATCATCAAATGACTTTCAGTAAACACTTGTTGAGAAACATTTCAAATGAAAAAAAAACTCATGGTCTCTTCAAAGAAGTTCAACTGATCCATTCCAACCAGCTGAAAAGTCAAAAACGCCAAAAAGCCACCTCATACACCCAAAATACCGTTAGTCACACAAATCACTCATCAATTCTCAAGAGTATAAGTAGTTTCTAAATCTAAATGATACTTTTTGTGCGAAAAAAATGGTTTTTGGTCCGAGAATGATAAAAGAGTTTATATGTCACTTTTACCTCGCTTAAAGTTGATTTATTTTTGTATATAAATCTTTGTTGAAATTAACCTAAGCACCTAAAAGAGAAAGAAATTGGTCGAGGACTAGCAACACTCAAGTGTGAGGGGATTTGATAAGTATGATAATTACCTATACTTTATATAGGTAATTATGATTATCTGTACGAATATTCAAAGCTGAAACAGGTAAAAATCCCAATTTGAGTAAAACCGCACAAAGATGTCAAAAGATGAAGAAACGGGTATCAACAGTCAAAAGGGATCGAGAACAGACACTTCGGGATCAACTAAGGGCGTAAAAAAGAGCGAAAAATGAAATATTGCACAACAAGGGAGAACCGGCGCCGCTTTACCCTCATAACCGGCGCCGGTTGATTTAATTTGTTATTTTCCAGAAACGCCGAAAGAAAACCGGTGCCGGTCCACCCTATAACCAGCGCCAGTTATGCCAATTTTCTGTGTTTTTCCAGCGCCGAAAGAAGACCAGCGCCGGCCAGGCATGAAACCGGCGCCGGTTAGGTCCGATTCTGCACAAAACAAGGAGACGTGCAACAATATTTTGATGGAAAATACTCACCTTCCTCATGATCTGATCAAATATATCTTCCACGCCTGATTATTGGGCTCGAATAGACTAAAAGATGTCAATCTTTAGCCTATATAAAGCCCTCAATTCATCAAACAAGATCATTCCATTCCATAGATTAATTCATAGCTTTTATATTTTGTTCTTGCTATATTTCTTCAAATTCTTTGGAGAAGAAGCTATTTCTCTCCTCTACAATTGGTTCTAGGTAATTTTTCTTGTATGTTATTATATTTATTTAGTCTTAGTTACACTTTTGTAATTAATATGAGTATTAGTAGCTAAATTCTTAGCTAAGGCTAAGGATGAACTTCTATGTCCACTAGGTGTTTGATAAAAGTTCTAAACCAATAAATTGTGATTTATGCTTTATATATTGATTGTTTATGACTATGTGTACAACATAGAAGTATGTTAAATTTAGTTTATACTTGCAATTAACGTTGAAGTCTAAACTATGAACATTAAAGGATAAACATATATAGTACCGAGAATAGAAATATATCCAGTCTTATATGATACGGGTGTGATGTCTTGATATTCAACGGGGTTTTCGGTAGATGAATGTAAGCCGTAAGAGGACTTACACGTAACGAAAACCACGCTCTCGCTGCCTTAACCGAAGTTGAGAATATATTAGCGACATCGTATTCATAATTATTGGAATAGAACTAATATTCAACCCTATTAAAGCATTTAAGTGATTCCCGAAGCCTTAGTCGTTGTTATTATTCATCTTAAACTCAAAGTTAGTTAACGATTATCTTCGTAAGCAAAAAGTGAAAAGCCAAAAATGTAAAACAGAAATCAAAATCCCTACACTTTACTCATTTATTTATTTAAAGTCATCTACTCTCGGACTAAATTAAACAACGTTTCCTTGTGGATTCGACCCAGTATTTTACCGGAATTTATTACTATATCGGCACTTGTACACTTGCAAGTTTAGCCCGGTCAAATATTTGTTAAACTATTTTGTAAGTGGTTTTGATAAAATATTTATTTTTATATAAAATTGTTTACATCTTAAAGTATATAGATCAATTTCAGTTTTATACTTTTAAAGGTAAAATAGTTTGAGTAGGCAATGTGATTCTGGAATGTATTTTTTTTAAAGTTTATTATTATTATTTTTTGACCCAATTTTAGGAGTCCATATATCCTACATTCGGATGTATGTACATCCGGTCCAATTAAATAAAAAGCCCATTAACTTTCAGCCTAATAAATTTAACTTTCGGCCCATGCATGTCTCATATCTACTGCCATACGTATCTCTCAGGTTTAATTTTCCAATGCGGGCCTCTCCGATGCTATGCCTAGCTTGTTTTCTCACCACGTCATATTACCTCTCAGCCGCGTCTCCAGCCATCTCCACCGCCTTTTGGCTTATCTTGGCCGCCCGTCTCTTGCCTTTCCAGCCCCTTGCCCACTGCATCCCTCGTATGTATATATGTATGTGCAAAACCATGGAAAACCAAAACCCGTTAAGTAGGACTCACACCTCACTTTAATTAACCACTATTTTATCTCTCACAATCCTTACACCATTATAACAAATTCATCAACAATTTTATACTCCGGCGACTCCGTAATACGCTATTCAAGACTTAAACTTTATTTTGTTAGTGTCGTAATGTTACATCAGTGGACATTTATGTTAAACATTGTGCTCATTCTAGTATATAAAAAACTCATTTCAATAGTTCATACGTAATAGTGTTCATATTAAAATGTTATGGCAGTTTTAGTGAGAATCAAGTATATTATATTGAACATTAGGAGCCTAACAATGAGCATCGTGATAACTGCTTCATATCTTTGAAATTTTTTTTTCTTATTTTTTAATAAAAACTTATTAAATTATAACACTTATGAATTTCAATATGTAAATCTAATGTAATATGATACTTTTGAAGCATTAATATGACGTTTTAAAAATGAACATAACATCAATACCAAATGAGAATAGGTAACTTACAAAATGAGCATTACACCAATATAAAATGAGCATACATACTTATTAAATGAGCATCGAAAAATTCAAAAACATCATTTGAAATCTCTAGTATGCTCAAATATTAAATGAGAATACATAACGTATGAAATGAGTATTGAAAATTTTAAAATGAGCATTACACCAATATGCATAGATATGACATTTTAAGTTGCCTAGCGTAATGCTGATTTTAAAATGAGCATTATACCAACATCAAATGAGTATTGATAATTTACGAAATGAGCATCGAAAAATTTAAAAAACTAATTTAAAATCTCGAGTATGCTCATATCAGTAGAACATAAAAAAGCAAAAATCTCGAGTATGCTCATATGAGTAGAACATAAAAAAGCACCAATTTCTTATATTAGACCAACCAATTTTATTGTGCCTATTTTTTAAAAATTACATCAATGCACATTTAACATAAATAATATGCTCATTTAATTTGGACGTTATACTCATTTGAATTTAACATAAAACTCATTTCTATTGTGTTCAATATGTGCTCAATATTCATTTGTGTATTGATATGACATTTTAAAATGAGCATAAAACGAATATTAAATGAGCATGCGTAACTTACAAAATGAGATATAGAAAAACAAGATCGTAAGGAGGGAACTAGAAAAATAGACAAAAAGGCACATTGCTTAAAGACACATTGAGTCTGCGCACGGGAGCTTCTCTAACTGAGAAGGAAAATTTTCCAACGGTCTTTTTTCCTCTTAGCTTGCTCGGACTTAGCTGCTCTCTTTTCGCTCTTTTGATCGATCTTTCTTCCTAAATCTTGTTTCTCCTAGCTTGGATTTTCCTCCTCTTTCTTTTCCACCGATTGGATTTGGAAGATTTGAGTTTTTTAGCTGGAAAACGACGGATTTCTGAAGATTTGTGCGTAGCAATTTACTATTCAAAGTTTTGATTTTTTGGTCTTTAATCCAAAATTTGACGGTTGTTGGAATCAAAGAGTGCTGTGGGGGTCGCCACCTCTAGGCACCGGAGGTGCTGTTTGGCCGGAGTTAGCAAAGAGCCATTTTGCGCACCACTGTTCAGAGCAGTCTGGTTTTTTGTTCGTAGCTCCCAAACGACACGTTTAAATCAAATTCTGAGAGTTGTTCTGGACTCGCCTTGCTAAGGCGAAGCTTTTGACACCGGTTTCGTCCAGTTTGAGTAAGTTTTCCGTTTTCCCCAATTTGAAGTCATACTCCATCGAGAGGAGAACAGGGCACACTAGCGGACTCCGGCTCCATGAAAAAAGCAACGGAAGCCTGAATCATCGGACAGAGAAGTTGATAATAATTTCAAAAATATCCGGATATACGGTGAGCACCGTACATCCGGGTGTACGGTATAATTTGCCCAATTTTAGACCAAAAATCAAAAGAAATGCTGAAATAATTATTTATTTCACATTTTTGTATTGTTTAAATACAATGAAAGTGTATATGTTATAAAAGTGTATTGGAAAATGATGAACATAACATGAAGTTTAATATAAACACTTGTTAGATGTTTATTATTCTACGAACATAAGTATGAAAAACCATGTTTAAGTACACTATAAGCAATAAGCCTCGCTCTCTTACTTCTTTATTTGCAGATGTTGATCCAATGAGTTGACAGGTTCAAATAGCGAAGCCAAGACAAAAACTTTTGGGTTCAGAGAGATTTCGATGAGTGGACAAATTACTTCTGTTGGGAGTAGACTGAAGAGAGCTTCCTATTTATATACATAGTACGTCCTATGTTATATAGGAAGGCTATTCATGTTCTAGCGTGCATTTTAATATTTGAAAATTGCATATTCCCAAGGCCAGCTAAAATAATTATGGTGCATGGGAAAAGTAACAGACATAATCGTTGCATACTTGACATATTACCAAGTGGGAAAATAAACCGGCACAGTTTTTGGTCAACACTCAACAAAGCTATACAATATTAGTCATGTGGGAAATAATTTGAGCATGAATGAAGTGGAATTCAACAGCATGCATGCACATTTATTGCTCTGTCGGATTAACACAAGTGTATTACGGAAAATAGTACAGTGAATTAAACGATAAATAATCCAATCAGATTATACGTACCGTACTTCATTGTGGACCTACAGTGAAATAGGCGGGAACACTGTAGCAAATCAATTTACTATTATATTGTAATAGATGTCCCTGTATGAAGATTTTTGAAAGTTAAATGCTTCCCGTTCAATCAGCCATTCTCTCTGTAGCAATATATATAAACGATATGTGGGTAGTTTCAGTTGCCTTCTTGTTCAAGAATCGGCAATATCCAATGTTTGTACATATACTCGTATTTTTTTTATTATATAATAAAACTTTGTCTTTAAAAGAAGGCAACTGAAACTACCCACATATCGTTTGTACCCACAAAGTTTTATTATATAATAAAAAAAATACGAGTATATGTACAAACATTGGATATTGCCGATTCTTGAACAAGAAGGCAACTGAAACTACCCACATATCGTTTGCCGATTCTGTTACTTTAAACATTGCAACTACTTTATATATATATATATATATATATATATATATATATATATATATATATATATATATATAAAGTACAAACTCTAATGAAGGAAGAAAATTCAAGAATAACGAAAAATGCTAATGAAAGGAAAAGTAAAAAAAAAGTTTGTCTCTTCGAGTCGTTGAAAATGCCAACCAAAAGTTAGTTAGTCCCTCTATGCTCCAAAAGAAAAGTCTAAGAACCCGATCCCCCAGAAAACCTTAGAGCATTCCAGTCTGCTTCTGATGTTACCTCACACTACAAGAAAAATAAGTTAGGGCATTAACTCGTTTGCTCTAGAGAGGGTTGAGAGCTCTTCTCTCCAAAGAGACCCAACGGTCATCTTTGCTCCTTCTCGACCGCAAACCACCGCAAACCACCACTCCACCACCGTCAACCACCATCTCCTCCACTTCACGAAGCTTGCATATCTCTCATATTACTCTTTCAACCGGTTGGGAGTGTAATATCTTGGATATCCATCCTTCTTCCTCGAAAACCAGTTCGCACATTTACTATTCACCCAAAAGGTCAACGCCCATATCTCAACATCTACTTGGCCAATCTTCGTTTTGAGCATGGTTTGAGGTTCACCTTGAAGAGAGGATCAAGCATATCAACTTTGTTTCATCATCAACTAAGTCCGTACAACGAGCTATTGTTCACTTCCGACTCCATTGGTACGGTTTCTTAGCTCAAATTAACAACAAACTACCAAGCTTCCTGTTTTAGAAGGGGTTGCTATTCTTAGCTTCCCCTTCCATGGTGTAAGGTTATTTTTGTGTTGATTGTCCTATAATCAACATGCCTAACTCCACGGTTAAGAAGAAGGAGCCC